TGGTCCCAACCACCTGGAGTAAAGGAGAATGAAGAACACCAAAGACACAAGGAAAGTAGTAGCCCAAGAGACAGAAAAGGCCACATAAACCAGAGACTTCATCAGTCTGAGACCAGAACTAGATGCTGCCCAGCTACCACCAATGACCACCCTGGCAGGGAACACAACAGAGAGTCCCTGATGGAGCAGAAGACAAGTGCGGTGCAGAACTCAAATTCTAGTAAGAAGACCAGACTTAATGGTCTGACTGAGACTGGAGGAACCCCGGAAAGCATGGCCCCTGGATTCTCTATCAGCCCAGAACTAAAACAATATCCAAGGCCAACTCTTCAGACAGGGATTGGACTGGACTGTGGGACATAAAGTGATACTTATGAGGAGTGTGCCTCTTAGCTCAAGTAGATACTAGAGACTAAACGGGCAGCTTCTGTCTGGAGGTGAGATGGGAAGGCAGAGAGGGTTAGGAGCTGGTTGAACAGACATGGGGAATCAGGGGCAGAAAGGAAGAATGTGCTGTCACAGTATGGGGAGAGCAATTAGAGTCATATAACAATGTATGTATAAATTTTTGTATGAGAAAAAAAAATTAAAAAAAAAAAGTCCTGAAACCAATTTAGTAGGTAATGACTAACGTTTTTAAAATATGAAAGAGAAAAGATTAATCAAACTGATTGTACATATTAAGGATAAAACATGTTTTGTAAAACTTTTCTGTTTTGTTCTATAAGTATGTACGCATAGATCTACACACCCTCATTCTCAATTCAGAAATCCAAACAGCTCTGAAAACCTCAAGTTTCTTTTCTAAGTTTGGTGTCAAAACTCAGTGAGCAGCAAAATCTGACCTGAAATGTCATAGGCTATTTACAGTCTTTGTTTTTCCCCACTCACTACAGAGAAAAAACAGCCAGTGGATACAGTATAGTATTACTGTATACAATATAATAATGTATAATAATATATTTCAAATATTAACGTATTTGATTATACAATGGCATACATAACGTATTATTTTTTAAGTCCAAAAAATTAAAAATCACCTCTGGACCTAAGAGTTTGGGATAAAGGATTATGGACCTTCATATATAACCCTACACAGTTCGTGTATATACACTTCTGTGTACTAGGTCACAGTGGAAAACGCATTTCTGACTAGACTGAAACAAAAACATCTAAAAGTGACTAGGCCTTCATTAATTCTTAATGGCAAGGGGGATCCCACCTCTATGTCTCAGTATTTTCCTATGCTTTTTCAATTTTAATGCCTCCCACTTGCTTTTTAATTTTTTTAAATAGGCTATATGTTTTTAGCAGTTTTAGGTTTACAGAAAAATTGAGTAGAAAGTACATAACCATTGCCGTTGAGTCAATTTCAACTCACAGCAACCCTATAAGACAAGGTAAAAGCCCCATAGGGCAACGCTATAATATCTACATAAGCAGACTGCCACATCCTTCTACCACACAGCGGTTGGTGGTTTTGAAATGCTGATCTTTTTCTTAGCAGCTAAGCACTTAACCAGTGTGCCACCAGGGCTCCTTGGAAAGTACAGTTTCTAAACACTCCCTCCTCCCTGCACACAAATTCTATTATTAATATCTTGCATTGGTATGGTATTTGTTACAACTGATAAACCAGAACTAATACAGTTATTAACTAGAGTCCATAGTTTATATTAGGGTTCACTCTTTGTGTTGTACTCCACTTCACTTTTAAGACAACTTCTTGTTCTGAGGAAGCAGATATTAGTCATCATTTCCAAGTGACCTTTAAATTGAACATAATGTCTGAAGTTTACACCATTCCTAAATCTCTTTCCCGAAGAATCTGGAGGGGAAAAAAAAGGCATCCTAATCATTAACGGAGGATTGAGAGGGCCTCCCCACAGCCTTACCTTCAGCAGGTTTAGGACTTTCTTGCCAAGATCCAGCTCAAAGTTGGCATAATTAGAACCGCCCATGTCATAGATAAACACCAGTCCATTCCTCTGAGTTTCAAAGCTGTAAGCCAATCATTGAACAAAAACATTTATAAGTAATAAGACGAATGAGGCAGGTTGAAAGCCAGGGGAAATAACACATACGGGACACATCTGAGACCAAAATAACTGCCTCCTTGAACACTGGTTTTAGAAAAAAGATGTATCTGCTATACTTATTGATGCAGACTTATCCAGACTTACCAAGTGCTAAACTCCGAGGTTGAGAATGCTCTAGAGCAACTAGATAATCAAAACTTGAACAATTTTTCCCCACTCTTCTAAAATTGCCTAGCCCAATTCTATACATTCGCCACAGCTCAGCTCAAAATTCTCCTCTTCCATAAAGGTCTCCCTGATAACTAATCAAAGGTATTATATTTTTCACCCCTGTGAAGTCTCATAAAACTTCCTACAGATTTTTCTTGTGGCCTTAACATACTCCAACTTTGTGTAACCATTTGATTCTCCCCTAGAGAGCAGAAACTGGTTTTGTTCAGCTGATTACCCCCAACAGTCTAGCACAGCCCTTGCAAATAGGTACATAACAAATGGTGGGTGAATTGTTTAATTCAATGGACTGGAAGCCCATCACTAAGATAATATTTTAGACCCGTGGGAAACTGTACAGAACAAACCTTCCTCTATCTCACTGATGGTGAATTTGTCTCTTATGACTTCAATGGAGAAAGAAAACATCCACCTATGAGCTTTGGAAAGCATCTTAAAAAATACATTAAGAGGTGGTGAGTCTATTCCCAGACTGAGTTGAGGAGTTGAAGAACGTGTGAAAATACAAAAAGTATTCCTCCTCAGCCCACCTCAAAGTTGTACTCTTCCACCAAGCCAGATCCCTATCTGCTTATCTGCATACCCAAATGGTCATTAGGAATAATTTATTTTATTGGACTACTCAGTTGATAAAAACATTCTATTTACAATGAGAAAACTGTTTGATGCAAAACACATTCCTGAAATCAGGGACCTCAGTTGTTATTTTGTATCCTAATTTTTTGCATCACCTCCTGGAAGTCTCATAGTTTCAGCCCTTTAACAGCATCCAAGGCACAGGCACCCACCCATGATGGTACATTTAAAAAATCTCTAATTCTGAGGTAATGCAAGTTTCTCCAGCAGACTTAGTTTCAAACAGCCCCTAATATCTTACAGTTAATACTAAATCTTGACTCCTTTTTTACAGCTTGAGAGACTATGATTTTTTTTTTAAATTTTCTTGTTGTACTTCAAGTGAAAGTTTACAATTCAAATTAGTCTCTTATACAAAAATTTATACATCCATTGTTATGTGACCCTAGCTGTTCCCCCTATATTGTGACAGCATACTTTTCCTTTCCACCTAATTTCCTGTGTCCATTCAATCAGCTCCTGACCGTCTCTGCTTTCTCATCTCACCTCCGGACAAAAGCGGCCCATTTAGTCTCATGTATCTACTTGAGATAAGAAGCACACTCTTCACGAGTATCTTTTATGTCCAATAGTCCAGTCTAATCTTTGTCTGAAGAGCTGACCTCGGGAATGGTTTTAGTTCTGGGTCGACAGAGAGACTGGGGGCCATGCTTTCTGGGGTTCCTCCAGTCTCAGTCAGACCATTAAGTCTGGTCTTTTTACTAGAATTTGAGTTCTGCATCCTACTTTTTTCCCGCTCCATCAGGGACTCTTGGTTTTGTTCCTTGTCAGGGTGGTCATTGGTGGTAGCCAGGTACCATCTAGTTCTTCTGGTCTCAGGCTGATGCAGTCTCTGGTTTATGTGGCCCTTTCTGCAGAGACACTATGATTTACCAAGATCAAAGTTGCTGTTAAACACACAGCACAATTTTGGGGTAGACTATTTGGGTCTCAAGACTTTCTATTTCTCCATGAGCTCATCAAGGACCAAATTCAAAGAATTACACATTTTCTCCTCAGAGCACCAGCCTATGGCAAGTCAGTGCCACGGGAAAGAGAATTTAATAAAAAGAAGCTCTGGTGTATAATCATCCAGATTCAATACTCCCAGACCTGAAACTGCTCATCCTGTGAAGGCACATGAAATATATACAAATGCAATAGGATTTTCACCTTTCTGGGTACAGAATATGAGCTTTGCAATGATAGCTGATCACTTCTCTACTGAGTTTGATTCCTGAGCTAGATGCTCCAGGAAATACCAAAACATTTAAAACACAGTCCTTGACATTATGTTCAAAATAATCAAGGGTAGGGTAGGGGCCATCAATGAAACAAGACTGGTTATAAATCACTGTTGAATAAGCTGGATGATGGGTACATGGAGGTTTATTACACTGTTCTCTCTCCATCAACGTATGTATGAAATTTTCCATTACATTTATTAAAAAACAGGACTCTGCCTTCAAGGAGCTTACAACCTACTGGTATATGAAGAACTGAAGAACAGTATAAGATAAACAACATCATAAGGTCTTCTACAACTATGATTGGTACTGATAATAACTGCTATTAGGGTCAAAGTAAAAAGAATTTTATTTATGACAGGTTGGAGTGATGAGGGAGGGCATTACAGAAGTTGGGCCTTAAAGAAAAGAGCAGGATTTAGTGAAGAGGAAGGGAGAAGGAAGACTGTTCTGGCTCAAGATAACACAAGAAAATAAGAATTTCTACCCCCTGGGGAACTAGTGAGAATTTTTTGTTTGAAGAAAGGGGTCACACTTATTTAGCTGTTATGCTTTGTTGATAATGAGGAGCCACTGAGGGTTTTTAAGAAAGGGACAGACATCATGAAAGCAAAGTTCTAACTGTGTGGTCCTCCTGTGGGCTATAATACAGTGGAGAGAGAAGCTTTGGCCACTGACATGTCTATATGAGAACTATGACTCTCTCAGCAACCCAAGGAGGAAGGCTAATACCAGATTTTCTGGGAAGGAAGCCTTTTATTCATTCTCCTGAGCTAAAGAAGCATTCAAAGGAACCCATATTCTGGAAATTACAGCAGAGACTAGTCACAGGGAGGAAGAGGTGAGAAATATCACACTTCTGCTTGGGGAATATAAGGCCACTGAGACATGTAGTCCTCATCCTTTAGCAACTTCTCTTTTACAAAGAAGTGTGTGGTTTGGATATATCTCACACTGAGTTTCAACAGCAGAAGCTAAGTACTATGAAAAGTAACGTAAACAAGGAAGTAACAAGTGAACTGGTCAGACAGCCTCACCTTGGACAGTCCCTCAGCTTCTGCCATCCTGTAAGTCTACAGTATGACTAAGGTTATACACAGCTGTCTCTCACTATCTCAGGCGTCAGCCCTCAATATACTGCTTCTAACCCAGAGGGCTAGCCAATGATGTGAAGAGCAGTAACAAACTATAAATGTTAAGCACCAGGGAAAAAGAAAGCATGGCAGAAAAGTAGTGTAGTAAAGTACAAAGAGCTCCGGCCAGGAGCCAAGAAACCAGGATCTTAGACTCAGCTGGACCAATGTGTGATAACTGGAAGAGTCATGTAACTTCTTGGGGCTTTAGTTTCTTTGTTTGTAGGCTACGAATACTACCATTTACCTTAGAGAGACATGGAGAGATAACCTGAGCTGGTTCTTTTTGCTTAAGCCCCTATTTAGAAAGATGATTTTGCTTAATTTTATGTTTTTGGACTCTTCTCTCCCTGAATGGTGATTATCAAAATCCTCTGAACTAAATGGCATTATTCCTATTTACTGACAAAGAAACTGAGGCTCCAGAAGATTTTGATAATCAACATTCAGGAGAGAACGGGCAACAAGAACCAGAACAGGTCATCTCCCTCTCACCTCCTTCTCGTAAGTAATCCTCAATGCACTGAGAATTGCTAATAATTGGCCTTCTCAGCTTCTATTATTCTGAAACTGAGCCAAGCAGGTAAAGATACAGAAATACCCACCATCTTGATAGTACCTGGAAACATGCCAAGCCCTGAAGGCCATGAACTGTTTTCTATTCATAGCAGTGCCCAAGTACATCCTAGCAGCATGGTGAAGGCACTGCTGAGTTTAATCGAGTCAAGGACTATCATTTTCCTATCTGGATGCAGACCACCTAAAAAATAATCTCCACACTCACCTATCCACAGCTCTGTCTAGCAAGTAAAACAGAGCCTGAAGCACCACATGTTGGACTGACTTATGAGGATGATGCAACCTGGCAGTGAAGAGGGCAATGGAGGCTCCTGTTGGGTCCCGAACATTCTACAGCAAAGAAAACAACAAACATTTAGAAATCAAAATAGGAAGGCAAAACAGTCACTAAGGATTCTTATATCCTGGAAAAAGGTTCAACGTGTGAAGAGAACAGATGCTGGGAATATTTCCCTGACTTGTATCAATTTCTCCAGAAAGCAAAGAAAGTTTATATCATTCCACACTTGATTCTCTGAGCACCCGCCCAGACCATATTCCTATGGTAGTAAAAAACCACATTCTCTTTGCTCTTCAACTATAAATCGATTAAAAGAAGGTTCTACACTGGCTGCCTTGCTAACTTCCCAGGTAAGATGGCAAATGAAACAAGCAGCAGGGGAGAACCATAGAACAGAACCATGGTTTCCATGCTCTGTCTCAGAAGTATCATCATATACTTACCTGAAAGGCCAAGGTCTCTTGTAAGTGGAAAGCTTAAGTAAGGAGGGACGGGTCTCTGACATACTGTACACCCATCCCAAAGGCCTTGATTAACCTTAATAGACCAGTGAAGTAACTTTTCTAAGTCTACTGTACAACTAATTCTCCATAATGTCAATTATTACTAGAATAATTTTGTGGCACACTGCACAGCTGCCTCATATCTATTCCTGACTGTTGAGACTTTCTAGATTTGGGATAAGCTATCGAGGAACAAAGTCAAAACAGGTCAACAGCTATAAAAGGAAGTGATGAGGTACTCCAATACGGGTCCATAAAGACTCACTAAGATGGTGAACTTTCCACTGAGGATCTCAGAACGGAGAGGTTCCTCATGAGGTTTCAGCTTCACAATGCCTTCCTTCCTTCGTGTTTCCTAAAAATGAAACACAGCAACATGTATTAACATGGAAATACTGTATATTCAGGGCAGCTTCATGTAATCACTAGACCTCAGAGATAAGAGATGTTAGAAGTCAACTAGATGAACCACGAATTCCTTGGCAAATCCCCTTCCAGGCCAGCTTAGTGTGATTAGAATTCTTACCAATGCCACCTTACCAGTTCCCCAGGTAGGGTATTTTTCTCTGACTCAGTGAGAATCCTGACCCAGACAACCAATCAATATGTACCATTAGGGTGTAGGCCAAAGTTCCTGAACATGCAGCAGTACCGACTTTGCACCAAAACCAAACTCATTGCCATCAAGTCGATTCTGACACATAGCGACCTCATAGGGTTTCCGAGACTGTAAATCTCTATGGAAGTAGACTGCCACATCTTTCACCCTCAGAGCCACTGGTGATTTCAAAACGCTGACCTTTCGGTTAGCAGTCAATCGCTTTAACCACTGCACCATCAGGGCTCCTTCAACTTTGCACCAGGATATTAAAATATAGACCTAAAAACTGTCTGGAAGTACACATCCTCACACGCCCTCCAGGATCAGGCCTCTTCTATCTTAAACGTGAGCTTTTTCCTTTACTCCATGTCCTCGCCAATAACAGCTACTACAGCTTCATTTTCCTCACCTCTTTGGCCAAATTCTTTAAACTCACCCTCAGTTCCCTCCTTCGCCACCCACTGTATTCTGGTTTCCTCCCAATCAAATTACTCCACTGAAAGCTTTGTCCAGGACCTTTGTCCTGAGACCTATGCCACTGAGTCCAGTGGACATTTTCAGTCCTTTTACATGACAAGGTTGACCACTCACATTCCCTTCTTCATGAAACATTCTCTACCTTTGGACACCATGATGACAAAAAAATACTCTTGGTTTTTCTATCTCTTCAATTATTCCTCCTAAGCCTCTTCTGCGGGTTCTTTTTTTTTTCCGTTCATTTGCTCCTCAATTCATTCATAAATATTTGTGGAGCATCTATTATTTGCCAGGCACTAAGCTAAGTGCTAGGAGCACCCTAGTGAATAAAACTAGGTCTTTGTTTATATCTTTCCCAATCCATCCCTACAATCAAATTCTAAATGCCTTCAGAGACAAGGCAGCAAGATAGGTAAGTGAAGGCAGTATTAGTGATGGGATCCTACCTAAAGCATTTGAATTCAACTTTTAAAACAATACTGGACCAAAGAAAGAAAAATGTCTGAGGTGAGGTTCTACCCTACACATCTTCCTACTTCTCACACTCTCCCTGAATGATCTCATCCATTCTCATGGCTTCAGTATTCAGCTCTACTTTGGTGACTCCTAAATCTCTATTTCCAGCCCAAATTTCTTTTCTGAACCCTGGACTCACATATCTGATAACTACTCAGAGGATGTGTCTATTTGGATATCCCAAAGCTACTTCAATCTTATGATGGCTAAAACAGAACTCATGACCTTCTCTCTCAACACACCTGCACGGTATCTCCTGAATTAGTGAACGTCACCACCATTTACCCTGCCACTCAAGTCAGAATCCTGGAATCCTCAACTCTTCTTTCCTCACACACCAATTTAAGCAACCCTGTCCTACCGATTTTACCTCTCTAGAATCTGTCCACTTCTCGCCATCTCCCGACACTACTCTTAATGACATCACAATTATCTCTCTCTCAGGTAAGTGCAACAGCCTTCTAATTGGTCTTTCTACTTCCAGTCCAGCCCTTCTGATCCATTCTCTACAGCACAGAGAGAAAAAAACCTTCCAGAATGCAAACATGATCTGGTCATTCCCCTGTTTATATCGTCAATGAAAGAAAAAGCAGATACTTCCTGATCTGGCCTTGTTTACCTTTGCTGCCCAATCTCTTACCACGCCCCCATTCCCACCAACACTCCTGCCCAGATGAATTTCTCTCTTGCCATTAGGCATTTGAACTTTGCTCTTCTCTCTGTCACACTCCCCAACCTACCTGATTCCTACTTATCCTTCAGATCTTAATTTAGAAGTCATTTCCTCAGGAAGGCTTCCTTGACCCTCCTAACTAAATGTGCTTCCACAGAACCTAGTACTGCCCTATCATAACATTTATCATATACGCTTCTACAATCTGGAGGAGCCCTGGTGACACAGTGGTTAAGCACTCGGCTGCAAACCAAAAGGTTAGTGGTTCAAATCCACCAGCCACTGCAGGAGAAAGATGTGGCAGTCTGCTTCCATAAAGATTTACAGACATGGAAATCCTATGGGGCAGTTCTATTTTCTCCTATAAGGTACCTATAGGAGTTAACTTTATGACAGTGGGTTTGATTTTGGTTGTTCTACGATTGTTTGTTTAATCTGTCTTTTTAAATAGTAATCTCTGCACCTGGAACATAGTAGGAATACAGTAAACACTTGTTGAATAAATGAATGAATACTGAATACGCCTACCCACAAGATAGGTGCAAGTGAACGTTGGTCCTAAACTAATCTTAGAGTTTGTTATCCCAATTTTTTTTTTTTTTTAAATCTAGGGCAATTTTGTGTCTCTTCAGAAGGATATTATGACCCCATGGTAACATGCCATACAGGACACCACTAACTAAGAAAGTAAACACAGAACCAAAGTCAATGTCCCCTCAAAAAACAAAGTAATATGCTACACAACTATATTTGCATAAAGGTAATGTTAAGACAATGGACCTAGGTAATACAATTGCTCTTTTTTCCCAGGCTAAAGCTCCCCTTCCTGAACCAAACCACCCATTAAGTATTCATTTGAATGGCAGGTTTCTAAAAACCCCAGAGATGCTGGAAACCAGTGGAGTAAAAGGGGCATGTGGCCAGAGGAGAGCCAGGAATCAAACTCCACGATATGTGAACTATTTATCCTGCCACCAAGATGACGTCAGGCTACCTCCTTAGTCTCCATCATTAGAGGTGGTATCCTGTTCTACAATCATAACTTAGGCATATTAGTCATGCCTTCCAGGAGCTGCTGTGCTCAGCCTTAACTATCCAAGAACCCTTGTGAGACTGATGATCTTTTCACGGGAGGTGGACAGCACTCAGAAAACCGTAACAACACAACTGCCACAGGTCTGGTCCACCCCTGAGCAACGTACCCTGTAGGAGTGGAATAACTCTATGGCACGGAGCACATCAAACTTCCTGGCCATGAGGAACTTGACAGCCACATTCCAAGAGAGTGGAGAAACGTTGTACTGAACTGTCCACTTGTTAATCTCTTCCAGAAACTGCTTGGTAGCCTGTTTGAGAATGAAAGAATAATTAGTAAAAAGAGAACATACTTATGGAACCAAAAAACAAACAAAAACTATCGCCCTTTCCCCAAGCTAGTTTGAACCCAAAGTTTACCACAGGGAAACAGGGAAAGACAAAAGGTAGAAGCAGTTTTGAACCCAGAAATAGTTAAAATACATACAACACAGTGAGGCCAGAAGCCAGAGCCAGGTTCACAGAGAAAGGTTTACCACAGGGATACATAACAAAACAATGAGGGGGAAGACCAGGGTACCCAAATGAGGTGAAAATTACTGGCCCCAAAAAATGAAAAAACAGGCAGCGGGTTTGTTGTTGTTAGTGTTGTTTCTTAAGGGAAGAAAAGGTGGCTGGGCCCTCTAGCACAACAATCTTAGCTGCTGTTTTGGTCCCACAAGCCAACTGGAGACAGCAAAATGATCAAAATGTCTTTGGCTTTGGAATTAGCAGGACTATTTGAGAGCAGTAAAACTATTAGGAAGAATTTAACAAATCCAAAGGTCAACTTTTCTTTGCTCTGACTGACCCCATTGGGCCTGTTCATGCTTCACATGGTAGCCAGCCACTAGGGCCCAGAGAGTCATTAACAGCTCCTCTGGAGAGTAGCTGAAGGAGCCCTGGTGGCACAATGGTTACGTGCTTGGCTGCTAACAGAAAGGTCAGCAGTTCAAATGCACCAGCCGCTCCACCACTCCATGGAAGAAAAGACCTGGCAAACTGCTTCCGTAAAGATTACAGCCTAGGAAACACCATGGGGCAGTTGTACTGTCATATAGGGTTGCTATGAGTCGGAATCAACTCAACAGCCCACAACAGATAGTGGCTTGATTTAGGAGGAACCCTAGTACTGGGAAGGGGTAGGAAATTTAAATTTCCAAGCTGACAAGATGTCTGTTGCTAGAACTGTTCCTTCCTCTAGATTAAATCATGTTCTTTTATCCTCTCTTGCCCTGTTCCCCCTTACATCATAGCCAATTTCTGCTCCAGCCAAACTTCATTTTAGAATATGATTGAAAATGGGATGTTGTGCATGCATCTTCAGAACTGCTAAAAGCTTTCCACATGGCTATGCTGTCCTTTCCCTTTCCACCCAGAAACTTTTTTCAGCTGTTGGTTTAAAATGTGATCATCCTGACAAGAACTTTGAATTTTAATCATACCCCTATTACCAATCAACCCATAGTTAAGATGTACTTATTCATATTTATTCAACACCTACTATTTGCTAAGCTAATACCTGTGCTAAGAAGTAGAAGGAATACAAAAATAAAGTCTGCATTAAAAGGTATAAGGCCAACTTGCTGTGGCAAGGTAATTCACTCTTTACTTCTAATTTTGCAATTGAAAACTAAGGGGAGAAAGGGCAACAGCAATGACCTACTTTAGAGTCTTGGCAACAAGTCCTACCTAGCAAATACAATCCAAATCGCTACATACACGTTTAAATAACTAGCAAACTAGAATCCCAGGAGAGTCAGCAATACCTCAAAACAGAGCACCTGATTCACCCCCCAATTTCTAGGAAAGAAAAAACGCACTTTTTAAGCTCCAGAGAAAAGTCTAAGAGGACTTAGGCTGCACCTGAACTTTCAAGCCTTCCAAAGGAGGCAATATCACTTATGCCACTGGAAAAGGCGAGAACCAGCAAACCTAATCAGGCAAAGTGCATGAAAACAGCCAAGAAATAAAGGCCATGAAGAAAAGCTTTTAGACGATCACTTTGGCCCAGAACCAGCTGAAGCCAGACCACAGAAAGGAGTCCCAGAGAAGACAACGGGACAAACTTAGAATGCTCCACAAGGAAACAGCTTGAGCTGCCTCTGTGGGGTGAGCGGCCAGCATCAGAATGAGGAAAGACGGAAGGGAAAAGAAGAGATGTGGGCAAAGAAAGATCCCAGAAACAAAACTCTAGCCAGTCCAGAAGGCTTCCAGGAGACTTTTGTAAATGGTATTTGCTTTTTAAGTTAACGTATTATCTTCTAAATCCAACCCTCTCCCGGGCTACTCTGAAATTGATTGCAAAATAAAACACCAGAATAAAAGAACTTCCCTTCCCCACTGCTTGGCTGATATATACTATTTCTAATAAAAATAATGAACCAATGAACTAATGTGTAGCTTGTTGTTGTTGTGTGCTGTCAAGTCGATTCTAACTTGTCACGACTCTATAGGACAGAGTAGAACTGCCCCATAGGGTTTCCTAGGCTGTAATCCTTTATGGGAGCAGATCGCCAGGTCTTTTTTCTTACCGAGCAGAGCTGGTGGAGTCAAACCACTGACCTTTCAGTTAGCAGCCGAGCGCTTAACCTTTGCGCCACCAGGGCTCCCTAATGTGTAGGCAGAAGTGGAAAACCTAGTTAAAGGACCAGGAGGTGATGTGAATTTATCACATAACCAACTGCTAATTTTTCATTTTTCATCAATAAACCATGCTCCAATATGAGACACCTAGGTTTCACACACTTCCTTCAAAGTATATCTCCCCTTCCTTCTTACTAAACTCAGTTCCTCCATGGTTCTTGACGTTCCATAGCTCCCAAGAGCTGTTGCCTTGAGCTGACCTCTGTCTCCCTGCTGGTCAGGATGTTATTCTTGGCTTTAAGCACGGGAACAATTCCTCCTGTTTGGCGTGACCGTGAAGAAAGTTCGGTGTACTGTAAACAGTGATATGATATTTACAGATACAAGTACACACATGCCACCTGCTCTGTTCAGCCTCAGATTCACCCTCCTGCATCCCCATCCCTGGTGAAGAGACAAACCTCTAAAAGGTATCAGAAAGGATGGGCTCATCTTCACAGCCTTTCTCTAGACAGTTAATCAGATTTCACCCTTGTTTACACATGGATTCAGCACAATCACTGAGTAGAGACTGATTTGTGGCTTTGGCGGCTACCAGAAAACAAGTCTAAGCAACTTTAATAAGCAATACACTCTTCAGGGATAACTGAAATTCCTGAAATTAATATTCAATGTATTTTCTGGTGAAAGAAAGAATGAGCCAAAAGATCAGTCACAGCTTACAAGATATTTCAACTTAAGGTCAGTGGTCTGAACCTAGTCTAGTCTTACAAGTAACCACAAGTTGTTAATACCTGGCAGCTAAGGAGCAGTCACAATTTAAATAGCTTTGGTATTCCTTTGGGAAAAGGTCTGAATTGATGTACAGAAAAACTAACATTACCACATACAACCCTCCTCAACTAGCTTTTCAGGTAAGAATAAGATTTGTTCCGGCATAGCCAAAAGGCTTACTGTAATTACATCCTTCTCCCACAGTCATGTTTAAATAGATAGAAACAAGTTTCTTAACTATGGCCATAAAGATAGAGATGCTAGAGAACCTGCTGTAAAATGGCCAAGAAATCTGTCGACTAAGTAGAGTACACCTTGGACATCATCCACTGGTGTTGAAATCATGGTACTGGAGAGAATAAAACCAACAACATAGTCTTCCTGTTACATCAAACTAGCAAGAGCAGCTATAGTTTCAACATGAGCTTTGGACAAGGGGCTAGTCACCCAATGGGTCAAGAAAAATGTGTTGGCCCTCTCAGTTCCAGAGGTAGTGCCTTAAATCCTGTGCTCCAAGATGATCTGAGAGCAAAAAGCCAAACCTGTAAGAACCTGTTCTTTTTTACTTTTTTCCTGATATTTATTTTTCCTTTTTTTTTTTTTATTGTGTTTTAGGTGAAAGTTTACAGTTCAAGTTAATTTCTCATACAAAAATTTATACACACATTATTATGTGACCCTAGCTGCAATCCCTTTAATGTGACAGCGCACTCTCCCTTTCCACTCCAGGTTTCCCGCGTTCATTCAACCAGCTCCTATCCCTTTCTGCCTTTTCATCCTGCCTCCAGACAGGAGCTGCCCATTTAGTCTTGTGTATCTACTTGAACTAAAAAGCACACTCTTCACAAGTACTATTTTATGTTTTATAGTCCAGTCTAATCTTTGTCTGAAGAGTTGGCTTCGGGAATGGTTTTAGTTCTGGGTTAACAAAGAGTCCGGGGGCCATGTTTTCTGGGGTTCCTCTAGTCTCAGTCAGACCATTAAGTCTGGTCTTTTAACTATAATTTGAGTTCTGCACCACACTTTTCTCCTGCTCAGTCAGGGATTCTCTGTGGTGTTCCGTCAGGGCGAAGAACCTGCTCTTGAAATAACAGAAAACGTCTGTCTCCTGGGATATCAGTCACCTAACCACCAAGAAACAAGTCTAGTGGTCTTGAGGGTTTGGAGTCAGGAAGAACTCATCTCTCACTGCTGAGTGATATTTGGGCAAGTCATTTAACCTCTCTGAGCGTCAGTTTCCTAATCTAAAAAGATAAGGATTGAATGAGACAACCGATATAAAAGCACCCACCATGTACCTGATGTGGTAGACTCTAAATGGATGAATGTTTTTCTTTTTTCTTTACTCCAGTCATTTCACACTAACACTTCTTTCAACAGAGACATAGTTCCTTAGAATCATGTGGCCTTTGTTGTTTCCCTTTAGTCTGTATCAATTCAATCTCCCTAATCCATTTTATCTAAAAGCATAAATTTAAATTAGAAACCTCCAATATGTGTTCAACTGTACGAAAAAACAGTCATTAAAGAAGCAACTCCTCATTCAGGGCTCTATGGTGATACAGAAGAAGCTGAGTCCAGAAGTATTTATACTTCTGCTTCCATCTCTCAAGCCTTTTGTCCTTACTTTCAGGGAACAGACTACACAGGCAGCTCCAGGGATTTACACTGCCGTCTTGAGCACAAGTTCTTTTTTACAGCATGAAACTGATTAGGAGCTATTTCTCATTACAGTCATGCGCCACTTAAGGTTCACAATAAGTTCTGTGAAACAGGACATTATGTGATTTGGACATCGTGCAACAGGCCGTCCCCGGGTTACGAATGTCGGTCAGGCTTACATACAACCGCAGTTATAAACCAACCTCATACAATCTATTATATTAAAAATTCGAGGTACATACAATGGTTC